AAGAACTGTCCATTCAAGATTCAAAGAACTGTCCATCGACAAGGTATTTATCAACCCGCGATTCGGTTGTAAACTCTCTCTCTCCGCGGCCTAGTATAGTTAAGAACAATAATATGCCGATAGTATTTAGTATCTCTGTATAGTATTTAGTTCGACTTAATTAAAATCGTTATTTACTTGTTACTATGGAGTCCGAGTAAGTTACTTCCGCGTCTCTCTCCTCACCTCTATCCAAGCGCTCACACGCTACCGCTCGCGAATCTTTAGACGTAACGTCGCGATTTCCGAGTCCCCCAGAGACTCGGTGGTGTCAGATTCAGTCCTCCTGACAGGGCGCCAAAGAGGTGCCGACCCTACGGTCACAAATATAACAAAGATTAAATACAGTATAAAGTTTGGTTATTTCAGACAACTATTGTCACGTTTATAGCGATACTCGGATTGTACGAAATGGCACAATTTCATAAGTCAAGTAGACAAGTATCGAATTTCCTTTTAATGTTTTCTCTAAGAAACTATGCCAACCGATCAAATTTTGCGAGAATCAGACCAAATATTTAAACTCGGACCTATCTATAATCACTTGAAGCATATTTTGTGCCCGCCAGAAAAATTGTATTATGTAATTTATTTTTTTCGTATGCCACTATTTCGCTGATTCGAGAGATAGAATGAACTATTAGGAAAGGGAATAAAGTATTCGTTCACCTCATTTCAGAAGAGAGAATGGTAAACGATTAATACTTAATACCAGTTTACTATTAGTAGTTTAAAAGTGATACGTTTTAGACAGGTTCTGCTAGTCTCGTACGTGACGTAGTTGTTGCTAACGTTAACGTCTGAAACTTGTTTAGATAAAAAAACATATTTTGGAATTGCTACAATAATTTTTTTGTGATAATAAAGTATTTAAACTTCCGAAACTAGTTTTATAAACTACACGCAAAGAATTTTCCTGTGAATATTGCGTTTATAAATAAATTTTTTAGGTTGCCAGTTGAAAAAATTGTAAACTTATAAATTCCGAATGTTCTCCATCTGTGAGTGTGTTAATCTCGAGAAAGGAATTGGATAGATAAACTTCGAGACCAGAGGTGGAAAGCTTATGGAGAAGGGACCCGGATACGCTATATAGGAATTTCCGTTTAACGATGTTACAATAAATAATCGCCTATTGGAATTAGTTTGGATTGATTGGTTATGGCAATGCGACACATGTGCCCGCAGGGATGCACCCTAGGAAGAATTTTATGGAATGTTAGACTCTATTTAGGTGCCACTAAGGTGAAGAAATTTCGGAAAACTTCCTATTGGCCATCCTATTGGCCATTCCTGAACCCACGACAAACTAACTACCATAGTTCAGAGAGGGCTTTTATGCACTCAGCTACTGGAGCGCACTTATTAGAATTAAGAAAGTGCTGTTCAGGAAAGAAAAACCCAAGTCATTAGAAGTGGAAAAATAAACACTTATAGACTTTTTACAGGGGTTCGATTTTATGCGAAAAAGTGCTATATGTTACCTGTCTCACAAGTCAGTTATGATATAGCACGTCTATTTCATACGATATCATTGCCACAGTAATTAAGTGAATATATCCTATATATATTATTTTAAATTATATCTTTTTTTATTATAATTATGTTTGGTTTATAATTCTGTTAAAGTTTTTTCCAAAACATAGCGTTACGTGCGAATTAGCAGATCGAATGTAGTTAGAAATTAATTGATTTACACAAATCCAATTGATATTTTGGAATGGGATGTATGACATTATTTAAATATGTAAACGTTTTGTTTAAGTTCTAATCAATTTGAAACAAGTTAATAAGTAAGTTACATTGACAAAATCAAAACTTCTGAATTAAAAAGTTATTCGTGTTCAAAAAACAAGTTTTTTTAATTAAAGTCGTATAACTTTACCATCGTTTAATCGAAATCACCAAACTGCAAAAACTTGAAGACACTGTCTATATTTTAAATTTCAATAAACAGCATCCAAAAATATAAAAACACTTTTTTTGTTATTAAGCTTTAAAGATTAACCGTTTTTTGATTAATTCTTATCTGAAATTCAATTATATATTCTAACAAATAATTTTTACACACGCAGTGGTTCTACTGAGCATTGTCACACCAAAATGATAAAAATCTAACGTGAATTTTTTTAAACTGAGACCAAAACCGCAAATTCATCCCAGAAGCCTATGCTTGCTTACTGCTCACCCAGGCAAATATATATAACAACAGCACACAAAAGTAGATTGATTTTCTTTTGTTTGATCTAAAAACGATAGTCCCGATAACGCGATACACAAATAACTTTTTTCCTTTATAAATAAAGGAATACGTAGTGTGTCTAGAGAATAAAGAGACTATGATCGCCTGTACAAAATAACCGCACGTGAGCCAGAGTGAGTGGATGGATAAACGACTTTGAGCAAGTAAGAATAAGCACAGCACGTCTCCACTTGCTACCGCTATTAGATTATTGTAAATGCTTGCAGCAAGTGGACGTGTTGTTAGCGCATGTCGGCAAAATGACAAGCTTGAAAATGAAACAGCGTATCAACCATAAAATCTTTGGTGAAATTGAAAAAATCTCCAATTATTTTTATAACCTGCTACGTGAAACGTACAAAGACACATATCTTTCTTGTGCACGTGTGTTAGAATGACACAAGAGATTTTCTGAAAGCCGAGTTAATACGAAAGAGGATAAACAATCTAGACGGCCCAGCACATCAAAAACCGAGGAAAATGTGCGAAAAGTGAAAGAAATTGTAAACCAATACTACTACAAAAAAGTTCTGGAGTCTATGTAAGAAATAATCAGAAGAAAGCGATGAAACTTCTGAAAAAAATGGCTACATCGTCCATCAGGACAACACACCAGTTCATTCCACTCTGTGAGTGAAGCAGTTATTGGCCAAGGAGGGAGACACACTACTTGAATAACAACTGCATTTTCCTGACCTAGCTCCATGTGATTTTTATCTTTTCCCTAAAATCAAGTCTGGCTCTGAAGGGACAATCGTCGTTTATTCGATTTGGTTTCTATTGTGACGAAATAAACGACGAAGCCGCTGCATAGAAGCTTAGAAATGATGCCCTGATGCACTGATATAATCATTGGAAGTCGCGAACGCATCGCTGTTTACAAGCAGAAGGTTTATACATTGAAAGAGAACACAACTAATGTGAGTATACTACTCAAGATTTAAAGTTCCAGCTCAATCTCGTCGTTCTCTAGCCTCAACCCGTATATATATATAAAAAAAATATATTTATACAAAACTTTTAAAATTATACAGCCGTAATAGTTAAACGCTTTCACTAAAGTTTTAATGAGGATTTAAAACATCTTTGCTTCTGTTGTATCAATGAACTAGTTTGTTCCTGTGGCATCACAAAAATGCCATCACTATTCTTAAAATGGTAAAATATAAACATTCCATGAATAACTACGAGTATATTTTGAATTTTTCCATTTTTGTCAAAAATCTAACAATATGCTTGGAAGAAATGAGTTTTTATCTACAATTTTTTGTATTTTGATACCTAAATGCAAAAGAATAAACATATCGAATTTTAACTCTATAATTTTACTCAAGTTACATCTATTAACATCAGGTTTGTGTTAAAATTTTCAGGTACAGTACATTTTATCTTTAAAGATCAGAGGAAAAAGCTGTGTTAATTTAATCCAATGAAAGTATTAGACTAGTAATATGGAAAGTATAGATTCTCTATTGTGTAGGTCAATAGTCTGCTAATTGTTTTATTTCCATTTTTACAAAACTCCCTTCTCCCTTAGGATTAAGTCAAATACAAATGTGACTGTATGTGGAAATGACTGTATTATACTGTGTTTTAAAATTTTACAATATTTGTTGCAAAAAGTTAAAACTAGAATTTTATTTTTTAACTTTTTATGAAAAGTTTTGCTTTCAGAATAATCAATTGTTTTATTTATTGAAAAATTTCATTTAAATGAGGTTTTAAAAGAAAAGATATCTTGCTATAATGGAGATTTGAAAATAGGAAATAAACCTTAAGAGTAAACCTGATAAATTTTATCATTTGTAACTGCTGAATTTATATAATATGAGGATTATTCCTAATACAGATTTACATTTTATACTAAACGATTCCAGGAAAAATATATATCAGACAGGTTTATAAAGATGGAGAATAATAAGGATAAAAAATTCAAAACACTCATTTAATTAAATTGCTTTTTGCCATTCGATCTTTAAGAAAAAAAATCACTGCGATTGTCATAAATAATTTGTATAGTCATATTAGTACAACTATGGCAATATTCGTACATTCAGTATAAGAAATTTTTTTAACACCACTAATAAATGTATTATTTATTTTCAGTTGGATTTTTCCGATAATAATCAAAGGATCAAAGCGATTGTTAAAAGAAGAAGATCTATATGAGACTTCAAAATATCACACTTCAGAGTATCTAGGGGATTTACTTCAGAAGTAAGTTAATCGATTTGTATTAAAAAATCTGATTAAGTTGAATATTTTTCTATGTTATACAATAACAAATAACTGGAATATTATTCTGTTACATTACACGTAGTCTTTCAAATATGAAAAAACTTTTTATATAAAAATTTAATATGAGATCTGGAACTTTTATAACCGAAAAAATTTAATTATTTCCACTTTTGTTATATAAAGGATTGACAAAAAATACAATCTTAGCTAAGAACATTTGAATCCCTCTCCCATAACTATCAACATTCTATTGTTTTCACACAGCCTGCAGCTCAATTGCACAAAATTTTATAGTTAGCATTAAAATTTCGTCTCTTGATTTGGTCTCGGGAACACCTATAATTTTTATCTTCTATAACAACCGATCACGTGACCGATTTTCCCAGCAAAAAACTAGAAAAAATGCTTCTTTCCCCTCTCAGAGGAGTCACATAACTAAAGCCAGACCAACGTCATCGCCACCGTAAGAAGAAAATCACTGAACCCGCCATAGCTCCGAACCTACGAACATCGAAATCGTCCATCCCCACAGTCGCGAACTTTTATACTTGTGCTAAAAATGGGTTACCCTAAAAACATTATTTATTGAATATCTATGTGCCTTAGTGGACTTAAATCTCCGT